TCGAGTTTTGCATGCCATGCCCTCGGAGCCTCTCACAAGCCATAAAGTGCCTTCTCGAGTTTTAGAACTTGATGCTCGTTTCTGGCAGCAATGTACCCCGGTGGTTGTGCCACATACACCTCCTCGGCGAGGTCTCCGTCCAGGAACGCAGATTTCATGTCCATGTGGTGAACCTCCAAACCGGAGTGTGCAGCCATGGCGAGGAAGAGGTGTACCGTCTCCATCTGCGCCACAGGTGCGAACACTTTGTCAAAGTCCATGCCCTCACGCTGTGAGCCTTAACAACCAGCCGTGCCTTGTGTTCGATGATGTTTCCGTCAGGATCACGCTTCACCTTAAATACCCACTTCAACCCGATCGCCTTGTGTCCCTTAGGAAAATTGGAGAGCTGTCATGTGGAGTTCTCTGTGATCGAGTCCATTTCAACATCCATGGCCCCCTTCCAAGTGGCGTCAGCAAGTGAATCGTCAACGTTCGACAGCTCCTCGGTGCTCAGGAGGCAGCGCTGCATCGCCTCGCGCACGGCCTCCCCCTCATTCTCGTCGAGGACACAGGAGAGGCGGCGATAGCGAATGGGCCCAGTGTCCATGTCGCGGCCGTCATCGTGGGTCAGTGGTGTGGCCCAGCGGATCTCCAGTCTCGTAGCAGGTGTCGCCATCTTGGTCTGGGGTGAGCCGTGCGCGCTCACCGATGGCATGAGCTCCGCAGGAAATGTCACCGCTGGTGTCGACATGGGGGATGCAGTCGCCGCGCGGTGCAGCCAGTGGCGCGGGCATGCCACTGTCAAGCTCATGCATGTCGTGTGCCGTGGTATAGACCACGACGATGGTTGCTGGTGCCGGCGTGTCCGCGGCCGTGCCCAGAGCGCACCATGTCCTTAGCCTGCCTTCCTCGAAGACTACATCATGCATGATCTGGACCTTCTCAGTCAAGGGATCGTACACACGGTAAGCAGGGCCGGGCCCATAGTGGTAGAAAATGTGCGGCCCGCACAGGGCCCAAAAATCTAGGGGGCCGAATTTTTTCATATAGGCCTAGTATTAAAAACAAAAAACGGTACTAGGCCGCTGGAGTGGGCTAGAGACCTGGAGTCGAGGCGACTAGGCATCGAGCGACAAGCGTGATCTCCTCGACTCCTCCTACTCGATCGCTACGGGTTTCTGTAAAAAAACTCGATCGCTACAATGATCGGGGATCGCTAGACCAGAATCGTGAAAAGTGAAAACTCTCGATCGTGGGGCGTATCGTCGCCCCGTCCCTGGTTCCTGGTCGCCCCGTCCCTGGTGATTAGATCGATCAGATCACAGGGCGACCGGCCGCTGCCTACTTGCCTTCCTCGCCTCCTCTCTCTCAATTTGGATTGATCTCTAGCCTCCACGTGCTCAAAGAATACTAAAAAACAAGGATGTTCAAATAAATAGCAACAAGGAGTTGGATAGGTATGACTTTTTGATATGTCCAATTGTTATGTAAGACATATATTATATATTCCTCTGTAAATTAGTGTAAGAGCGTTTAAATCATTAAAGTAGTGAACGCTCTTATATGAGTTTACGGCAGGAGTACATTATAATTTTTTCTACGATATATATGTACATTATAATTGCTTGTTAGTTCTTTTTTCAATATAGGGCCCCATTTTTTAGTTTCGCACGGGGCCCATGATTTTGCCGGCCTGGCCCTGACGGTAAGCCTTGGAGCCCTCCTCGTAGCCGATGGAGACCATAGGCGTTGAGCGATCACTCAATTTGGTGATGCCGAGGACGACCTTCTTGACATGAACCGTGCACCAGAAGGTGTGCATGTGTTGTACGCTGGGTTTGCGGCCGTAGCACGCCTCATATGGGGTGACACCATATCCAAGCTGCGTGTAGGAGCTCAGTTCAGGACGTAGACAACAGTTTTCACCGCTTCCACCCAGAAATATGTCGGCAGGCTCATACTCTTCATCATATATATGCCGTCTTCATCACAGTCTGATTCCGCCGTTCCACCACCCTGTTTTGTTGGGAAGAGTATGGGGCAGTGGTGTAGTGTTTGACCCCGATCTTTTCATAGTACGCCTTGAATTCGCCGGAGTTAAACTCCCCGCCACGATTTGAGTGAAAAGCGCGCAGCTTGCACTTGCCGTCCGTCTCTGCCAATGCCTTGACCTTTTTGAAGCGGTGGAAAGCCTCGTACATGGTCTTCATGAGCTCTAACCACATGTAGCGACTGTGGTCATCAACAATCAACAAAAAAATACTTGTTACCTCCAGGTGTGGTTGGCTCTATCGGCCCAGAAAGGTCAGTGTGCATGAGCTCTAGCCCATGCTCTACACGATACGCCGTGGCTCGGGGGAACGGTGCACGGTGTTGCTTTCCCAAAGCGCACCCATCACAGTATTCTTCAACCCGGTCGATGACGGCCATGCCACGCACCAGATGCTTCATGGACATGGTCCGGAGCGTGTGGAAATGCAGGTGTCCCATGTGCGCGTGCCACCGCCATGTCGCCTCATCACCCTCGGCCATCAGATAGGTCGGGGTGTCGATGGTGATCTGCCCCGTTTACAGCAAGCTGCACAACCTCTTGACGCGGGCAATGATCTGTCGTGCCAGGTCGCGAATGGCCATGATCCCACACTCGATGGTGATGGAGCAGCCGCCCTCATCCAGCTGCCCCACGAAGATGATGTTACTTCGCAGGCTCGGGATGAAGAAGACGCTTGCGAGTGCTCGCTGGTCTCTGCTCTGTCAACGAAAAACTACGGAGTCTTGCCCTCGGATGGCAACAACCGACCCTTCGCCGAATTTCACGGTGTCGTGCACACCGTCACCGAGCATAGAGAACATAGCCCTGTCTCTGGTCATGTGGCTGGAGTTGCCGGTATCAAAGGACCAAAGGCCCATGGGAGAGGAGACAAGGATTACCTTCTCTTTGTTGAGAAAAATAGTCTGCGGCCCCACGATCTCTTATGTGGAGACAGTTGTGACCACCGCCATGAGCAGTTCCTGATCATTTTCGTCGCCTGCCTGGGCCAGGTTTGCCTGATCCTACTTCCCCTTCTGCTCTTATTCACAGAGCCACGTGCGATACTCCTTCCAGTGCCAGGTATGCCACAGTAGTGACATTTCCCCTTTTTCTTCTTGCTGCCAGAGCCGCCCGTGCCCGTGTTCCCCTGCGCACACTTTCCACCGCCCTGAGATCTGGGCTTAGCGGGCGACTTGCTCTTGCCGCCGCCGCCGCCGGATGATGACCCACCGCCACCGCCCTGCCTCTCTCGGGCAAGCCACTCTTCGTGAATGAGCAGGAGGCGCCCGATGGACTGTGTGGCGTCGTCTAGGTTGTAGTGGTCCTTGCACGCGGAGAAGTGCCCGGCGAGCTCCTCGATGGACATCGTTTTCAGATCGATGAGGGACTCGATCGCCATGGCCATGTGGCGTTCCTTCCGCGGCACGACGCGGAGGAACTTTTGTACGGCCTTGTGCTCCATCACGCGATCGCCGTACAACTCGAGGTCGGCAACTAGACCGGTGAGCCGCAGTGCGAAGTCCTTGACAGAGTCCCTGCCTTTGAAATGGAGATCCTTGAACTCGCAGCGGTGCACTTGCGCCTTGGCCTCGCGATCCCTCTCGCTCCCCATGCGGAGCGTCTTGATAGTCTCCCAGGTGGTCTTGGCCGTGTCCTTGGCCGCCAGTACCCGAAGCATCTCCGACGGCACCCCGATGAGGATGATCTGCAGCACGCATCGGTCATCGCGCTTGTCAGCAGCGCCGTCGTCACAGCGGACCAGACGCCGGTGACCTACAGCTTGACCTGTATCACGAGCGCCCACTCGATGTAGTTGGTGCGAGTGAGCACCATGGTCGACGACGAGCTCTCGCTCTCCTGCACCACCCTCTCGATGATGCGGATCTCACCGCTGCCGTTGCCCGTCAGGCGCGCCAGGGGCGCCGTGGACGGTGGCGTCATTTGCGGCAACTTGGTGCTGCTCTTGTTCTTCTCCTCCGTCTCGTCGCCTGACATGTATGCCATGGATCAAACACCGCCGGACCGCCAAGGATCAAACACCATGGCTCTGATGTCAATTGTGGTTGCCAAACGAGCGATCGAGAGAGAGATGCGAGCGAGAACGATGAACACGAACTGGAGAGAGAGTGGTTTTTTGGCTGCACAAACCTCGCAGCTTTTCTGCTATCTTTCTCTTTCTCTTATCTTAGTTACACTGAGTGAAAACAACTAACTAGCTAACCTCCTGGCCTGCTCGCTGTGATCCGGTGAACTCGCGCCATCCCACGACTCCTTCACACGTCCATATGTGCTGACCGGGAGAGAAACAACGAGAAAGAAGGAGCGCGTGCACTGTGCACGTCTCCACTACGTGCGTGCATGCGGCTGTCACATCAGGCCCATGCACACATTATTTACAACAGAAAAATATAGCATCCTACGCTGCGTGATGATGAGCTTATAGCAGGCTAACACGCACTGGGAGACTCTGAAGGGGCATAGGTGGCCGTCGCAACCGAAGCGATCAATGACGCTTGTGCAGTGGTTATTACCGAGTGAAGGACAGCGGCCCATGTGGGTAAGGAGCTCAGCTCAGCTTATAAAAAGGAAAAAAGACTCCAAAGAAAATACAAAACTGGAGCTTAACATTTGACTAGCGTCGCACAATGACTACCATAGAGTACAATAGCATTCCAGGATTCCCGCAAAATAACAATTAGCATTCCAGTTCCAGGAACGAATTTAAAGATTAACACCATTGTGTTCGTACCAACAATGTGGATTTATTATACTTAACAAGTACAAATTTGAGTCCTCACGGTGTCATGCGTCTGAATATCAGAACTATATCCATAAATCTGGGATACAAATGTGTAATAAGGTGCAGAAGGCACAAGAATTAGATATGCACAAGAATAATCTTACAAGTGCAGATTCTATTCAAGTATGCTTCCAGAATGCTTGGCATAAAATGTTCTTGAATGTATATGAAATCAGGCTTAGGTCATCAGACATCAATTGTCTTCTTCTTCTTTGGCACATACTGTCGAGCCCATAGATGTTTTCCCCTGGTCATGAACTTAACTCTCATATTCCCGTCTAGAACACGGAAGAGTGTCATCTGTGAGTAAAATGTAATGTGTGCGTACAGTGGTGGCCTACTTCCGATTGGCTCCTCTACACTTATTTCTTCAATATCTCCATAGTGCCTGTGACATGGAAGAAATTAATGAAACAAAATTAGAAACTGCATATATAGGCAAAACTATTGAAATGAATTTAATCTACTGAATTTTCTCCTGAAATTCCATTTGTGTTCCTTACTATTCCCTCCGTTCCTAAATATAAGTCTTTGTAGAGATTTCACTATGGACTACATACGGAGCAAAATGAGTGAATCTACACTCTAAAATGCATCTACATACATCCGTATGGGGTTCATAGTGAAATCTCTCCAAAGACTTATATTTAGAAACGGGGGGAGTATATCCTTACATGTCTTTTATGTCAATTATATGTAACTATCAAATTGATCACTTTAACTAGTAGATTTCAGATTTTGCGACCTCTATTGATCGCCTTCACAGATTGAGGGGTTGGGGTGTATGTCTTCACACCTCCCTTTATGAGGACATCAGGACGGTTTTTCTGGCGCCTAGCAAAGAAGATAGCAGCAACCTGTTGAGCATTTTGCAACCTTCGATGAGGTTATCAGTCATGTTTCCAATGTGCTGCAAAAGCTCTTAGTGCCTACTACCTTTGTTCGTCCATCGATCTGAACAGCATCCTTCTTGATTGTTGGGATGTTTGCACTCAATTCCAACTGCCGCACTTAGATCTTCCTCTGTCAGCGAATCATTTGAAAAGCGTGTACAAGATCATGTGCAAGCGTATTAATTAACTTGCATGGCATGGCAAAGAAAAACGCATTGGTTATCGGTCCTTAATTCACAAGCTATGATGTTGGTCATTGCTTTCATGGAAGACCCGGATAGGGCATAGGATTGGGACCCCCTTGCGACGCCATTGATATGGACCTCTTCTATGATGTTACCACGATGACCATTGGACATGGTAAAACCGCAGCCTTTTGGCATGCAACTTGGCTTGGGGTCCGCAAAAGAAAAGACATTGCACTATCCATTTTAAAAATTTATATGCATAGGAACCTAACCATGGAGAGAGATTTTTTAGTACGATTGATGGATCAACAACATTAAGATAAATTTTGGTCTCTTTGTGGAACACATCATTGATTATTTTTTCTGCTTTGGGTCAATTTGCAAGACACTCAAGCGATGACAACAAGAATTAAACTGTTTGGAACCTTACTGCTTCGGTAGAGTAGTCGACATCATTGGAATATACTCTTTAAAGTGTTTAGTTAATGAAGCCAGATTTTTGGAAAAATTGATTGTCGTCTAAGAGAAAGAAATATTCTTGGCTTATCTTGCAAGAAAGGGTGTGGACAGCTAATATATTACAATTTTGCAAAAGGGCCCCAGAAATTTTACGTTCATGAGGCGGATTTACAGTGCGATAAAAGTGTTGTTTGGGCTTATTGATGTTAACACTGGTGAATGGAGTTACTTCAACTCGGCCAAAGATTGGTGATATTATGTGATCAAGATCAACGGAAACATGAGGAGGTGGGTCTATTCCCTCCTCCGTACTATCAGATTCGGCTTGTAAAGAGTTGCACCAGATACCACTTCCAAGAGCCAAACTAGTGTGAGCTTCTCTTACTTAATCTCTCACCAATTCCCACAAACTCTCTAAATTCCCACACATAGTTCGCAGTAGATACCAGATACCAAACAAAGCACTAGGAAATAAAATGACACAACATTTTCCATTACCCTAACCCCCTCGTCTAAACTCCCATCCCCTTCGCCAAAGTTGCCAAACACACTATGACAAAATACATGCCATTATGGACCACATAGGGAGTGGAGTTTAGTCATAACTTAATGCTTTTACCTTTTCATACCAAATTATATGAAAGCTCTACTTTTCCAAATTTACTATTAATTATGCATCACATACCTAATGCGTAAACTATTCAATGTTCCTGCATCCCACCATCCGGGGCGGCATGGTAGGTGACCATTCCGGCCCACCAAACACTTTTCACTACAACTCTCTGATCCCCGGTGAGTGGCAGCCAGAGAGCTCACGAAGCTCGAGGACGGCGTCATTGAGACGCTCTTCATGTGCACCTCATTACAATAGCGAGTGGCGCACCTACGTTTGGCGGTTGGGCGACAAGGAAGTCCTAGTTGACGACCAAGAGCCAGCGCCGCGTTCGGTGCCCTCCTATGTTAGTGGGGCTTTGTGGATCTTAAGTTGAAACCTCTCACAAGCGGAGCTCTATCAACACGATAATGTGGCGATTCACTTTGAAAGTTTGGATGGAGCACCATATCCCTCCTCTCTGCTGCTAGCTAGTAGTGTGTGTGAGTATGCACCGAACGTCGATTTTGAATTTTGGTGCTTTGGACCAGGATGGTAGTCTAGATCTAAGAGGGGTTTTTTGTAGCAAACTAGTGGTCTGCACTTGGAGATCTACTGGTCGGCATTGGGTCTCATGGTTGCGAAGGATTGTTTCTTCCTTCTTTTGTTGTGAAGGCGTGGGGTTTGAAAGTCGGGGTGGCAGCCCTGGATGGTGGTCACTCCTGTGTCCTAACGGTGAACCTTGCAATGCAGGGTGCTAGTTGGCTGCTAAGGCAATAGAGTGGTCTTCTTAGCGATTGGTTGTGGTTTGTGGGTCGTCTATGATGCCTAGATTTGGGTGTCATCTTGACCAGTAGTTCCCTTCTCTCCTTTTCGGGGGTGTAGTGATAGGTCTTTAGATGGATGGGTGTCGTTGTGCCCTGGAGATAGCTTTGCGTGACAGTGGTAAGTGCCGATAACGATGATGTTCTTGGACATCAATGTCTTCCCCAGAGGCCTCATTGAGGTTACACGCTCATCTTCCTCGATTTTTGGGTGAAAATCATTAACCCGGATTGTCAGAGAAGCGCTACAGCCTCGTTACATTGTTGGAGGCGTCGACCTTCAAACTTTTGCTCCTAATCAATGGGTCGATGCGTGGTTGTGAGGCAGTCAGTGGTAGTTGTGATGACAATGTGGACTTCGCTTTGGTGTTTGCAAAACAACCCAATGTTTTTCTCCTCCTTTAGATTTTGTCACCAGTCCTCACGGTATGCTCTGTGCGAGCTTCTCTACACGCCCATGGTATGACACCCATGGAGACAAGGCAAGAATGCAGGGGGTCCTCTTCGGTGATGGGGACGAATGAGCTAGTATGTCGTGTGATTTAGCCTTCTTTGAAATAGAGGAGGACCTACATTGCTTTCCTACACACACACACACACACCAAGTTCTTCAGAGTGATTTTTTTCAAGGTTGAGCTCCATAGTACCTTCTATCTATGTCGTTCGTACCAAATTCACTTTCCTCGAGATCTCAACCATGGCCTGCGACCCATTGTGATTAGCAGCAGTACCTCTATCGCACCTGTTGTCTCCCTACACTCTCTCTCTCCCTCTCTCTCTCGAGAAACTTCACAATGTCTCTTATTCCTTCCCTTTTCTCTCTTTAGTCTTCTCCTCTATCTCTCCTCTGTTCTCTCTCAGAGCCTCCTCCCATTTCTCATCTATATCTTTTTTTAGAGAAATGGAAATTTCCCGAGTTTATAGATAAAGCCAAAGGACATTCACAACACCGATTACAACCATTAAAAAAGTATCACAAGTTGCTGAACAACCAACAACCAACAAATCCCACAGGAACAGTTCAGAAACGACAATCGGGCCAACAACCAGGTACCAAAAGAAAACTAGTAAATGATGATACGATGTCCACTAAGCTAGAGCTTGCACCCTTGGTGATAGAGAGTTCGACGTAGCCCTGAAGCGATAGCTGAGTAGGTCCGTGGCGTCGATGTCGTACCTCTTAACCAGAGGCCTCCACTACTGCATTAGTGTAATGGATTTGAAAATAACATTAGCTGGTTTCGACGGGAACACATGCTCGATGGTAAACTTATTTTGAGTAGTCCAAAGAGACCAACTGCAGCAGCAAACCCAAACTAGAATATGCATCTCAATGGGGCAGATAATGCACTAAAAAGCGGCAGTAATTGAGCAAAAATCGGTCGGAGCCCAGCTAACCCTCAACCACGACCGAGTACAACTTCACAAGAGAATGACAAAGTCACATGAAAACATAATATGGTCAGAATCTTCTGGCCTAGAGCATAAATAGCAAGTAGAATCAGCTTGAGCATTATGCTTCCTAATTTGATCAACATCACGAAGCTTCCCATGGATGGCTTGCCAAAGAAAGGTCTTAATTTTTAGTGGAACACGAGCCCTCCAGACACCCATGAACTTAGAAGAACAGGACCTAGCAATAAGTCTATGGTAAAGCGATTTGACCAAAAAATTCCTAAGGGGGAATGAGGCTAGACCACTGAGTCCAGAATCTCCGAGAGTGTGAGGAAAGTGGCATCAAGTTGATGCCACTGTTCCAACTCTACAAGAGATAGGGAGCAGTGAAAGGCCAAATTCCAACCAGAATTAGTAAGATCAAAGATAGTAATATCAACATTACCACAAAAAGAGAAAATGACCAGGAAAGAAGAGCAAAGAGGGGTGGCCCGTTCCACCAATCAAGCCAAAAGCGACTGGATTTCCCATCTTTAACAATAAACTTCACATGAGAACGGAAAACATCTTTAAGCTTATTCAAAGCTGCCAAAATTGAGATCCATTATTAGCCAAAGCCAGTTGATCACTAGTGGAGGGAAATATTGTGCTTTAAGAATATCAAACCAAAAAGTCCTAGCGGAAGCAAGAAGAATGCACCACCACCATTTGAAAATTAAGCAACAATTCATAATTGACGTGTTAATAATGCCCAGGCCACCGTGGCTTTTAGGCTAGCAAATGATTTTCCACTTGACTAATTGATCCTTCTTTTTATTATCAGCCGAATTCTAAAAGAATCTACTATGATGCTTATCAAGACCAGTGTGGGTACCCTCAAGTAGCCTATAAAACCCCATAGAGAACATAGGTAGAGAGGAAAGAGAAGAGTTTTTTCTGAGAACTTCCCTAGCAGTTGTATTATATCTACCACAACACGACACAACCCTATTATCCACCTTAAGAACTATGGGGGCTAAGTCTTTTGTCACACTTTA